ATATTATTATCTATCTATCTTAGATATAAATATTTCTATTAATATATTATAATAATTATAAATAGATTTAATAAGAAGAAGAAATTTATTCTTTTAGATTTCTTAGAAGTAAAGATAGTATTTTAGATGTTTATTAAATTTATATAGCGAGAGAAAGAATATTTATTTACTATTATCTCGAATCGAGATATTTAATTTATAATATATTTCTAAAGAAAACTATATTTTACTCTAAAATTAATAAATAGATAGAGAATACTAACGCTACTCTAAAGTAATATCTTAAAATTTATATTAATTACGAATAAAGGCCTATAAATTAAATTCATAATCATTTTTTTAATTAGGGCTATCGAGGAGCGATCTTTAATGAGCGAACTTTAGTAAGCGATATTTGAATTCCTTATGCTTTAATAATTATAAAACTAAATTTAAGAATTCTTTTTTTCTTTGAAAGCCCATAATTCGTTCTATAATTTTAAAAAAAAATCTCAAAATTTTAATAGAAAATAAAAAAGTTATTCTAAAATTAAATAATGTGTATCTGCTTTTTAATTAGAGTTATCCGGCTATCGAGCGATCTTTAGTAAGCGAACTTTAATAAGCGATATTTGAATTCCTTACGCTTTAATAATTATAAGACGAAATTTAGAAATTCTTATTTTATCTAAAAGCCCATATTTCGTTCTATAATTTAAAAAAAAAATCTCAAAATTTTAATAGAAAATAAAAAAGTAATTCTATATATTAATAATATATACCTATTTTTTTTAATAAGGGAGGCGTAGAAGGGCGAGATTTTGATGGTTGCGGATGTTAATTTATTTACCCGCGATAAGTTAGTCGATCTAATTAAAGAGTATAGCGAACTTAAATTAATAATTAACTACATATATAAATTTAAGATTTTCAAGCTTAGCTCTATCTTATTCTTTTATATATACTAATAATTAAGATAATTAGATAGATTTATTATTAATAGTAGAGTTCGAAGCTAACTTCGATAAAAACGCCTTATTAAGCGTATTATTATTTTTTCTTTTTAAAGAATATATTTCTCGCTTAGAAATAAAATCTTTTATCTCTTAAAATTAATTCGCTAATTAAAGAGCGAAGAGAGATATTAAGTTAGCTAATAGATTTATCGAGAAGATAGATATTATAAGAAATTATCTAAAAAGTTAATTTAAATAATTATAAACTTTATAGAAGAAGTAAGTTAATTATTATTAACTTTCGATATTAGAATTTAGAGTTAAAAATATAATTATATTTAATAGAAGAAATATTAGAATTATATACTCTAATAAATTATTAAATTATAAGAATTTCGAATTATTTAAAATTATTAAAGTTTTAAATAATTTCGCTTATAAGTTAGAACTTTCTACTTTTATAAATAATATCTATTCTATCTTTTATTTATAGCTATTATATCTCGATAATAGCGATTTACTATTAGAATAGATAAAGTCTTCGTTATCTTCTATTAATATTAATAAAGAAGATAAAATTTACGATATTAAAGAAATAGTTTAATTTAAATTAGATAAATGAAAAAATAATCTCTTAACTAATAAGAGAGAATATCTAATATATAAAATTAGATATAGAGATCTTAAAATTAAGAAAAATCTATTCTAATAACTATTTACGAATATAGTAGAATATTTAATTCTAATAGTAGACTTTTATTATTATTACCTCGAGGCCGTTAACTCTTATTTATTATTTAAAAAATCTTCGAAATAATCTTCTCTATTAGTGCTATTAATTTATAATAGTTATATCGACTTATAAAAAGATCTTAAACTCGTTATAGAATACTAAGTTAATATATTTAAGAATATTACTTTATATATATCTAGATATATTTTTTATAAAATCGATATCTACTATATAGTAGTCGTCGTCGAAGCTTCGAATTAAAGAAAGAGGTAATATTACGATTTTAATAACTTTATTTATATTATAACTTAATTAGACTTAGCGTACTAAGATCTTTTAATCTTTCTATCTTACTATAAAATCTATATTTATAATAATCTTATATAGATAATATTCTCTTTATACTATAATATAGAGTTATTATATATACTATTAAGTTTCTAATAATAATAAGCGATATAGTAGAGTATATTCGCACTTATCTCGATTATTAAAGAGTATAAATTTATTATTATAAGTTATATAATAAGCTAGCGTCGATTTTATTAGATAATATAAATCTATTTTATATTATAATAATAAATTTTATTATAGATTTATTATTTATAAGAAACTTATATATTAATAAAATTTATAATATTATCTTAATCTTAGTAAATAAGTTAATTAAATATATAATATATATTATAATTATAAAAAATCTAAAAATTAATAATCTTATTAATATCTTATAATAAGAGTTTATATTATTATATAATTTAATTTTAAATAAAAACTTTATATTTATAAATAAATTCTAAATAATATTATATTAATATTTAAATATAAAGCGTAAATTTAATATTTTATTTTATTTTTAAATTAATAATTAAATTAAAAAATTAAATTAAATTTTTAAATATTATTTATAATTATATTATAATTATAAATAGAATAATTAGCTTAAGATCTTATTAATAATTATATTTATATATAATAATAATATATATATAAGTATTAATAAGATTTTATAAAAGCTATTAATAAGATATATAGTAGATTTAAAAAATATTTTTAAAAATAGAATCTTAAAAAGAAAAATATCGTTTATTATAAAGTAAGTAGAATAATTATAAAAGATAAGATTATATCTAAATAAATTATAAGAGCGAGTATTAAAGTAATAAGTAAAATATTATAATAATAATTATAAAGCTATAATCTTTAAAAAAAAGAATAAAGTATTATTATAAAATTTAAATATATATATTTTATAATTAAAAAAGAAACTTAATTATAAATAATTTAAATTTTTCGAAGTATTAGAGAAAATAAATATATAGATTTATAAATTAAATCTCTCTATTAAATATAAAGAAAATTATTTTATATTTTATATATTATTATTAAAATTATAATATTTATATAATAATAATTTAGAATTATAAATAATTTTAATTAATAGAAAAGAAGAGTAGAAGATTAATAAGATATTAGATAAAAGAGTTTATAAAAGCGAGACTAAATATCTTATTAATTAAAAAACTCTTTATTTTATAAAACTTTATAGAAATTAATAAAGTATTTTAAAAATATTAGAAATATAATTAAAAACTTTAAGCGAGTAAAGAAATTATATAAATTAATATTTAAAATAAAATTAAAGATATAATTATTAAAGAAAGTTAAAAAATAAAATAGATTAAGAAAATAGTAGTAGTAGAGAATTTAGATAAATATAATTAAAAAGCTTATAGATTTATTTTACAATATTAAAATACTATATATTATAAGAAAAGTAGTTATTAAAGTTATATATATAATTATTACTATCTAATATTAATCTATCTATTCTCTTATATTAAAAAATAATTTCTTATTTAGAAGATTTATTAAATAATAAGAAAATTTAATAATAAGAGAAATAAGAGAAATAATCGAAGAGGAAGTAAAGATAGCGATATTACGTTAAAGTTTAATAACGCGATAAGTATTTATTTATATTAATTATATACTCTAATATATATTAATTAAAATATTTTATATTATTTTATATTTATAAAATAGAATAAATATTTTTATTAAAATAAATTATAATAAAAATAATAGCTTAATAATAGAAAGATAATAAATTAACTATATAGAGATAATTCTTAAAAAAAAATTATATTCATACTAATATAAATTAACGAGTAAAGCGATATAAATTATATAAAGATTATATATAAGCGTATATATATAATACGAGTAAAAGAAGTCTTAATATATATTAGCGTAATCTCTTAATTATCTAATATCTCTTTTATTTATAAAAGAAGATAAAAATAGCGATAAGAGAAACTATTAAGTTTTTTTAATTAAATATATATTTAAAATAAATATAAATATTTATTAGTAATAATAAAGATAATAGAAATTATAATAATTATAAATACTTAATAATTTATAAAGCTATAAAAGTAAAGATTAAATACTATTATTAATATATTAATATACTTCTTATATTATCTAGAAAGTATTATAAAATATTCTTTAAAATATTTATTATATATAAAATTAATTTAAATAAAATTAATTTTACTTAATTATTATTTTAATTAATATATATATATTATACTATTATAATAATATATAGCTTACTATTACGATATTATAATAAAAATAAATAAAAATAAAATAATAGATATAAAGAAGAATTAAGTATTTAGTTATATTAATATTAATACTATTACTAAAAAAAATAGAAGTTAAATTAAAAAAAGACTTTTATATTTATTAATATAATTTTTATAATTATAATAATAGAATTATTATAATTATTAAAATAATAATACGCTTATATTCTATTAATTTAGATAATAATATATATAGCGATACTATTATAATTTAATATATAAATATATTAATATACTTAAGAAGATCTTAGAGTAAATAATTTAAATATATTATTATAGTATATATTAGTTTAAATTATATTTAAATTAATAATAAATAATATTGTTACGGATTTAGTGTGCTTTAGGGGATTCTTGTCGTTCAGGTAGGGGTCCACGCTCTTTTGGCGCTTTGGCGCAACGGTTTAGTGATAAGGCACACTATTCCTTAACAAATGGTAGCAACACCTGAAGATCAGGAGTCTATTGAATTTATTCGCTCATCCATAGTGCTGGCCAGTCACGCTACGCCTCTACCTACCTCAACACCCACATCGCTCACCTATCAGCAACTCAGCCTGTCACGCAGAGTCACTACACGCAATTAACATCCATAGCGCTCACCTATCAGCACTCAGCCTGTCACGCAGAGTCACTACACGCAAACACAAGCAGTGAACCTTTCACTAGGCCATCACTATGTCTACTTCCAGCCCACTCATCCCCGGCATCTCAAACGATCAGCTTCAGGGCATAATGGCTCTGTTTCAAGGCATACTAAGAACTGAAATGGCCATATTTAGAGCTGAAATAAGAACCGAAATAAGAACTAAAATGAATCAACTACGCAATAAGTTTCGTCAGCAAGCCACTCAGCCAGTCACTCAGCCAGTCACTCAGTCAGCCACTCAGCCAGCTACTCAGCCAGTCACTCAGTCAACCACTCAGCCAAAGCACCCAGTTGAACAAGAGGAGGAACCACTACAGGCAATTGCGGAGAACACTGCGGAGAAACCAAGCGGCAACAAGGCCACCACCATCAAGAACACGGCCCAGCTCTCCAAGATCCCACGTCATATGCTCTCCACGATCCCACGTCAAATCGCCTCGCAACTCAACCATACGGAGAACACCACTACGATTTGGCCTACTGTCTCCACATGCCTGGGCAATATCATATTGTGGTACATCACTGCAATAAGCACACAAGAGAAGGATCTACTACGTCGATCACAGCCAATTGGGCCTCTGCAGGAGGACATGGGACGATGCATATTTGGACGAATTGAAACCGTCTGATATCTTACTCCGGCACTATTCGAAGGGCTTCACTGCGGTAGGAGAACTCGTGGGATACACACCACTAATTAGCCTGGTGTCTCCAATTCTTTCCGGTATTTCGATTCTTGCCATGAGGACATGGCCATTCTTGTTTTTTGTGGGCACTTGTTACGGATCAATCCTCCACACTCGGTACACCTTCCTAATCAGGCCTTAGCGTGCCTCTCTCCGCACATATGTGTCTGCGGACCACATAGATTAATAGAAGAACTTTACACCACACCGATATTATGATAATAAGAACTATTCCTTAACAAATGGTAGCAACACCGGTTCGATTCCGGGTGTGACCCGGACAGTCTGAATAGGTTACTTGGCTGCACTTGGATTTGGTGGAGGCTCATAACTTCCGTGCCTTTCTTAGCTGTACGCACCAGGCCGCAAGTAGCTTACGGGGTCATACCCGGGGGGTTCCTATATACGTTACTCATGCGTGTAGGCCAGCGCATGGGGACATGCGCCATTTTTCGAAGTGTGCAATTGTTACGGATTTAGTGTGCTTTAGGGGATTCTTGCCGTTCAGGTAGGGGTCCACGCTCTTTTGGCGCTTTGGCGCAACGGTTTAGTGATAAGGCACGCTTTTCCGTGACAAATATATAAGAAATTAATAAATTTATAAAGTATTTAATTATAAAATATAATAATAATAAAATTTAGAAATTAAATCTTCTAAAAGAAAATATAATTATAAGAGTAAAAGTACTTAAAGGGAATTAATAAACTCGCTAATATTACTTATTAAATTATAAGTTATATAATTAAAATAAGTATCTAATATATTTAATAAAATCTTAAATATTTATAAATCTTCTTTTCTTTTCTTTTCTTCTTTCTTTAGTTATTAATTTATCTAATAATTAATCTATTTATTCTATTAATTATATATCTAAATCTTATAATTATATAACTACTACGTAGTTTTATTAAAAGAGATCTTATTATCTTATAATAAGTTTAATAATAAAATAACTAATAGTAAAAAGTAAGATAAAGCTTTAATACGAATTTAATATCTCTTTTCTATATATTATTATTAATATAGCTATTAATATAATTCTAGCTCTAAATTAGAAATAACTTAACTTAAAAGATATATAAAGAGTATTTTTTTAATTAATAAGAAGATCGAGATAAGTAATAAGAAAGCTAAGAACTTATTTAATATACTCTCTTCTTTCTTTTTAATCGAGTTTTATATTAAAAAATTAAAAAACTCTTCTAGCGCTATTAAGAAGTTTATTAAATAAAAAAAAGCGATTTTAAAGTTAAAGAAAAGACTTAAAAAGAATAAATCTACTTAAAAATCTAAAGATAAAGAGATTAAAAGAATATATAACGAATATATTATTAATAAATCTAATAATATAATAACTTCTAAATTAATTTTTATAAAAAAAATATAGAGTATTAAATATAGCGAAGTTAGTTAAAATAGTAATAGTTAAATTTTTTATATATTACTATATTCTATATAATTTAAAAAAGAAGAATATAAATAACTTAGTCGAATATTTATATATTAAATTTAATAACTATTTCTTATATACTCTCTTTATATCCGCGAATATTAAAAAATTTAAACTTATCTCTTAAAGCGACGTTTATCTTAATAATCTATATATTACTATTATTATTAAATCTAAATAATTTAATAAGAAATAGTTAAATATATTCTAAAAAGCTAAATTTAATTTAAATAATATAACTCGAGATTTTTATAACTCTCTAAATTATATTATAAAAGTTTATAAAAAGATAAGTAATATCGATATTAAAAGTAAGATTCTTATAGAAGAGAATAAGAGTTAATATTATCTTTAATATCGAGAACTTTATATACTAGATAATTAAAAAAGTCTAAATAAAAATCTTTATCTAAAGTAACTAAGTTTTAAAAAAGATTTCTATATTAGAATTATTTTTAAAAAGAGTTATTTTATAATTATTTAATCTATATCTAGCTATTCTAATAATAATATATTTTTTCTTATATTAGATTTTATATAATTAATTTTAAAAAAGAAGAATAGCGAAATTATATTTACGAAAGCTATCTTAAATAAAAAAAGAAAGATATTTAAAAAATTAAAGAAAAATAAAGTCTTATCTAATCTCGCTAAAAATTCATAAAATAAAGATTTTAAATAATATAATATATAATAAAGAAGTTAAATAAGAAATTAATTATAATTAAAATAATTTTTTATAATTTACTTATATAATAGCTAGATAGATTCTATTAAATAGTTAATAAATAAATTTATATAAATTTTATATAAGATCTTTAAAAATAATAAATTCTATTAAATATATATTTAATTAAATTAATATATAAATTATTAAAAGATTATATAATATATAAATATATTTAATACTATATAGAATATTATATTAAAATTTATCTATAATAAAATTATTCTTATTTATAAATAATATTTATAGTATATAAATATTATATAAAACTATAAAAAATAATTTTTATTCTATATTTAGTAACTGAAAAGATATAGTATTTAATATGAGATTTAAGTAATTTTCGAGATATTATATTAAAAGATATAGAATATTTCTAATTTCACTCGATATTTTATATATAAATTATCGTATTTTAAAATCGTCTCGTATAAAATAGACTAGCCTCGTTATAGAGCTTTAAGAATTATAAGATTCTAAAAATAGATTATAAAGATATAAATTTTTAAAGAAAAGAAGTAAAAGTTAAAAAATTCTAAGTCTAAAAAATTTTATATCTTTTCGACTAGTATAATTATATTACGTTATTAAGAGAATATATTTAATCTTAAAGTAATAAAGCGTATATATTTTAATAATTATTAATAAAAATAAAATAAATATAAATATAAATTTCGAATTTACTCTTAGATATACTTTCTTTAAATTTCGTAATAAAAAGAAAATACTAACTCGAAGAGGCTTAGCGAGATAAGCTAACTGAAAGAAGCTTAGCGATCTTAATATATTCTAAGAGACTAAGATAATATCTATAGATCTATTTAAAAGTATATTAGTAAGTAAGATCTAGTAAATATTAAATAAATACGAATAATATAAGAGAATTTTTTTCAGATATAGTAAGTATATAATCACGTATATCATAGACTCAATAACTCGAATCATCATAAAATTTCAGTGCATATGGATTTTTGATAAACTTAAATTTACTTACTTAAAATTAGACTAGTCACATAGCTAGTTACTAATCACGAAAAGTGTAATTTCTGAAGTGGTTTTCCACTACACTATAGGCCCTGGATATAATCTCAATTACAATTACCAATTATAAATACCAAAAAATCGAAATAGGCCACATTTGAGCCTACACCCATATCACGTAACTCGGCAAGCTTTCCACTACTGGGTAGCCCCGCGCCCCAGCACATATTAGATACTGCCGTAGAAAGAGTGTCAAACAGCGTAGACTCTTCGTTGTTGATGCTGTTCAGGTCAAGATTTTGAGCATTGTACCTTTCCAAACTGCCACTTCTCCTGACTCTATGCCTGCAACTTCGCCGATGCCTCGGCTTGGTAGGATAGGCACCGCGCTTCCTTCTGAACATAGAGCCTCGGTCCTCCTGCTGCTTGAATACTGTTTCTCCCGCCTTTGAAGTTGCTGCCAACCCATGACTACCGCAGCTGTATCCCTTCGTCAAATAACTTATCATACTTCTTGGATTCAACAATGTCTGATCTCGAGCCAAAAGTGTATGATCTTATTGTTTTTGGTGCTACCGGGTACACTGGAAGGCTTTGCGCGGAGTACATCTCTACAAGCCTACCAACGAATTTGAAATGGGCCGTTGCTGGTCGATCTGAAAAGAAAATGGTGGCTATGATGGACGACTTGGGGGCAATAAACACTGATCGCCTTCAGCCGGGTTAGTTCCTAGTCATCTGATTTTTCTGGTTTTCGTTGACATCGGAGAAGGCATTGAGATTGCTTCTCTTGACCCCGGGGATCTGAACGCTCTCGCGAGGAAGACTCGGCTGTTGATAAACACCGTTGGACCATACCATCTCTATAGCTCACCTGTTGTCGAAGCTTGTGCTAAGAATGGCACACACTATCTCGATGTTACTGGAGAGTCACCTTGGGTTCTAGAGATGATCGTGAAGTATCACGAGATAGCAAAAGCCAACCACGCAATCATAATTCCAGAGATCGGGATTGAGTCTGCGCCATCAGATCTTCTGGCCTTCGCATTGGTTTCTTTGATCAGAACAGAGTTGTCGTTAGGTACAAAAGAAGTCATTGCAAGCGTACACGACATGAAGGGTACTCCTTCCGGTGGTACGCTGGCCACAATTCTTTCTATGATGGACCACTATAGTCTCAAACAAATCGGAAAGTCCAGCGGCTCCTGGGCTACCTCTCCTGTCCCCGGACCAAGTCCTCAAAGCTCACCGTCTTGGGTCAGCAAACTCCTAGGCATTCGAAGTGTGCCAGGTTTGGGAACACTGGCAACATCTATATCAGCTGCACCAAATATCGCTGTTGTACAAAGAAGCTGGGGCTTGTTTGATGCTGGCAAGCTCTACGGTAGCAGGTTTCAGTATAACGAGTATATGAGGGTCCGCAACTCTGTCGTTGGCATAGCTTTGCACTTTGCTCTTGCTTTCGCCGGGTTGGCGTTGATCTTCTCCCCTGTTCGATGGTTGGCGAAGAGATTTCTCTACGCGCCTGGTGAAGGTGCCGATAAGGAAGTAACAAGACACGAATATCTCGAGTGTCATGCCGTCGCTACTGCCGACGAAGATGGGCTCAACCCAAGGCGTGCTTTCGCGAAGCTGAGATGGGATGGCAGCCTATATCAGTTCACAGGAGTATTTCTCGCAGAAGCAGCGATGGTGCTCCTCAATGACGAGAAGCTGGTACAGCGCCTGGATGGTGGTCTTCTAACCCCAGCAACCCTAGGCCAGCCGTTCATTAATCGGATGAAGAATGCTGGGCTTGTCTTTGAGGTTGAGATGATGTCTGACCAATGAATGTCATTCCAATCCGAACTCAATCTGAGAGCTTTCATATTAGGATTTTAAACATGTCTTGAGGTCTTCTGACCATCCCAGTGCACAAACGGGTTGCACATGACCACTGCTAAACCCTTGGTCATGGGAGGGATTATTGCAATTACCGCCATGCAACCAGGACATTGGCGCCTAAGGGATCTCAATCCAAAATCATCACCGGGCATCAGATCATCGTTCCAACTGCATCCGCATGAGAGATATGCCAATCGCAGGTATGATCATTAAGACCGCAATGGAGGAAACGACCTCGTTATGTAGATATTCGAGAGCCATACAATTCAAGATTTGATCACAGCCATCAGCGAACTCCTTAGAAAACTAGCGAGAGGCAAGGAGCCGGACGGGCGCGAACTTCGACAGCACTGCAAGGACCAACGACGTCGAGAGTCGCAACGACATCGGCGCTACAACGACAGTGGTCATTACGAAGGTGGCAGAGAACCAAGACGCCGTGGACAACGAGAAAGGAATGGTTATCATAATGGTCCTGTCCTTAGTCCAATCATCCGGTCTAGTGCACTGACGAGATAGGAACACAGACACTCACCAAAGCTTCCAAAATTACAACCAGCGATGCTCATGATCGTTATACATCAAGACATTCGTTCAGTAGCGCGCCTCAATCTTGTGGGGAGAGATCAGGATCTCCGCCAAGCTGCCCACCCTCACATAGCTACTCTAGCTCCGGCCTCACTGGCGACGGAAATAGAACCCATGGTTACGAGCAACGAATACCGCTGGATGCACCACTATTGGTCAATACCGGCCGTGACATCATGGTTTCAGCCCCTGCTTTGAACCAAGGAGAGGATCTTTACGAGCTTCCGGAAGCAGGCAGCGCGGATCAACCTGGCCGAGTGAAGAGTACGTTCCGCCTCATCACGGTTCTCGCCCCTACGACAGATAGACGAGAGGATCTTCGCGAAACTCCTGAAGCATGCACCGCGGGCCCATGCCGCCGAGCGGAGAGCAGTGCCACGACGATCAGACAGTCAGGTCAGGAATGTCTTGGGAGGTATCCGAGAGGCTACAGCGAAGTCGACGAAGTACGAGAAGACCGGACAATGGAGCGTGAGACGATGACCATAGTGACAGGGATTGATTGAGGCTTTGCTTCTTACTCCACAGCCAATGGCCTTCGCCATCATTCATCATTGCCAAATCAGTCTGTTCACACATCCCGTCGAAAGCGTTTTCGTTCGGCTTGTTCTCGTTCTGCTTCCGAATCATACTTAGTCCATTCCCAAACCCTTCCAGCCTCAGCCAAAGACCTTTCGTTCCCCTCCCAAGGCACACCCCTAGCCCTCGCCGCTTCCCGTTCGAAAAGCCAGTGTTCTGCTTCTGAGTCTGATTTATTCCACTCCCAAACCTTCGGCCATTGAGCCTCAGAATTCCCATTCTCTTTTTCTGCCTCCTCCTCCCCACCACTCCCTGCCTCTCCTTGCTCTTCTCTATCCACAACACCGCAAAACCAATCCCTCAAAAACTCAAACTTTCCCCCCTCCGGAGCGCTAGCATACAAAGCCTGAAACATCTCGTCACGCTCTTGCAGTCCCCGCTCTCCACCCGGGAACGCTTTCGCCACCTCAAGGACCTTCGGACCGATGCCTGTGTGCTCTGCACCCCTAGCCTCCTTGTCTAGGGTACGTCTCACAATTTCGTCCGCGAGCCATTCGCGGACGTGCTTCGATAGGGTTGATGCGAGGAAGTCCCAGAACTGATTCAGTTGTCCTTAGCCAGTCGCGACCATCAGAGCGGGTCACATCGGTTGTTCATCACCTTTGGGTTCATCATAACTCCGACCGTCTCTTCTACATGAAGTTCACCCGCCATGAAACTGACGAAATAGGCCTCGGTTTCTCGATCGCTCGGGCTCAATGCCATTGTGTTGAAGCGGCAGGAAAATGATAGATAGTCTGACTGATTTGACCAGTGCGAAACTTTTGACCGATGCTGCGTGAATGGCGTCAACAACTGCATCATCCGTGAGGTACGAGTGTCGATGAAGACTCACATGCGGCCGAAATGGTGTATCTGAAATGATGTGGATTGAAAGGTTATTCACTCTCAGACGAGTGAGTGTCGAAAGGTCCAAATGTGAATACTGAAATTGCAAGATGGTGAAATCATAACTTTGGATGGCTGGAAGGTGCGAAGGAGCAAGAGATCTCTCCGAGCCAAGGACAGGACACGGAAGCGTCGAAAGAGAGTCATAGCAATTGGAAGTGACTGAAGGGATGCCCTGTTCATTACAGCTTGCTCACATGCCTTGGCGAATTTCGCTTCCTGTCTCTGTGCCTGAAGCTGTCATCACCGCCTGCAGTGGAAGGTTGATCTTCTAGCTCTCGAAAGGATCCTTCCACCGCCAGGAAATTCCAACCTCAAGCCGACGTTTCCTTGCTGCCTGCCTCTTCCACTTCCTGTTCAGGAGTCCCATGCCTCGTTTCCAGAAGCACCGACTTCCTTGCCTTCGCCGTTCTCTTCCTCTTCCTCCTCATCTTCATCCTCTCCTCCTCCTCTCCCTCTCCATCGCCCTCCTCCTCCCTCTCCAGATCCAACGCCCCAGAAACGCAAACCTGGCCCCCTCATTGAAAGATGCATACGAGTGAACGATGATCTCCATCTCAGCCCTCTGCATCACGATCGCTCCGTCAGGACGAGTAGCCAGGACGGCTCCGCCCTTGTCCGCCCAGTCTTCCGTCATCATTGACAAACCTCCGTCCGCCACAGCCTCACGAATCTTCTGCGGCCCCACAGGTAGTAAGGAAGTCCCAGGACTATGTGTCTTTAGTGACTTCGATAGATGATAGTATGATCAAGATGCTGTTCGTATCTCGGTATCTCGACCAAATTGCTTCGGACCCATCCTTGTCCAATGCAGCCAAATGGTCTACAAGGCATCTGGCAGTAGTCTTGTCCCGGGACTTTGTCGGTAGTTCTGAGGATTGGGGAGATAACGGGGTGCGAGATATGATGTGACGTCGTCGCTCAAGGCTGCGAAACCTCCCCCCTCTGGTCAGTAGGTAGTGAGACAGTGATGTAGAGGACTTGGAGGTGATTTACTCAAAGGAGAGTTCAGTACTCAAGTAGTACGGTCTGGGGGTCCTTGGCTGTCAGAAGGGTAAAAGTAGGAAGATTGACGAAAGACAATTCGAAATCGTGGGAAGGCGTGGGACCTGGTGAAATGACAGCCTTGGTGGTTTGTGCACGTCTTTATATGAAAGTTGTGGGATTATGTGAAGAAGTAAAGGCCTAGAAGTATGAGAGTGAAGGCAGCTTGGAATAGCCAATGTGTCTCCATAGATTGAATGCGCAACGGATGTCGGCTTGAGTAAATTAATAGATTATGTTCAGTATGGTACAAGAGATACAGATACCAGTTCCAGCCATGGCAGCTGAATATTATCACATATGCGAAAATGAGAATCCATTAGGTTTCCTTCCGCTTGCAATGCCCTCAACTCAGATGCCAATATCGCACCAACAGGCCTCCATAACCAAAAGATTTCATCGAGTGTAGACCGCCGGACCAACCCCCCTCGTCCTCCCACAACCGCCACCACTTCTGACTCTCGAATCCGTTCTCTCAGACTCGTAATCATCGCCTGTGCTGTCGTCCCTCTCACTTCCCATATTTCCGGCCCTCAACACGCCCCTCCCCTTCCTCCTCTCCTCTTTTTCCTCGTCTGGCGGTATAAAGCGATGGACAGTCCTGTGGTCCATCACTCTTTCTTCATCATCGCCTTTCCCAAGCTTGTCAGTCTTCGGCCACTGATACCCATAAAGCTTGCTATGGCGTTCACATCGTGGACACTCTTTGCGGGTTTGATAGCCATTGGCTTGCACCCAGCAAGCAGAGCAGGTACGGCAGTCGACCCAACGGGAGAAAGATTCGCCGAGTAGAAGGTGCGTACGAATGTAGTCGCCTGGGGTGCGAGTACTGGGAATATCGAGCTCGATCGTGGGCTGCAAGCCTCGAACTTTCTTAGGCGTGCGAGGTATCGGCTTCGGCTTGGATGCCAGCGGGACCATGCGACCAATTTTCCGCGGGCGGCCCCTTTTGCGCGGGGTAGAATCGAGGTTGTGCGGACTCGGTTCGTCATCATCATTTTCCGCAATTGAAGGAAGAGAGGAGAGGGGAGATGAGAGAGACGTGAGACCGCTGCTAGAAGGCGAAAACGCTAATTGTGGAGGCAGGTTCCAATCGATGCCACCTTCGAGGCCTGCACTCGGCGTAGTAGCTGAACTTGAATCTGGTCGAAAGCGATCATCGAAAGTAGAGTCCTTCTCGCTGATCGAACTTGAGTCCTGTAAGCTAGACAAACTGGAACTTTGCACGCTTTGCTTCCTTGAATTTAAAGGAGAGCGTATCGTCCTAGCACGTAGAAAATTCTGCTTGCGCCCTGAAGAATTGGCCGATGTTATTCCAGTGAGGAATGAAAACGGGCTCTTAAACTTGTACGGGATTTTAGAGTCGCTATATGATCGTGGACTAGGGTAAGTTTTCTGAGCTGCGCGCTTGCCTTTCGAGGGATGTGACTGTGGCTTTGTGGTGGCGCTGAAGCCGGCGAAAGCTGCTCTGACAGCAGCCAGTATATCATCTTGAGATTGAGTGGTCTTGCCATGCTGTCCTGCCTTCTTGAGTGACAATCCCTGTCTAGTGCCTTGGTTTCCATCTTCGGCAGGGATTACGATATCGGTGACGTTCAGTACCTGGCGCAAGGGTGATCCAGGCTTCGCCTCTTTAACGGCGTGAGAAGGTACCAAATCACCTGTCGCCTCGATCCCAAAAGAAGTTATGGCTCTGCCAGTCCCAGATTTCCGTTTCTTTATTGGCGTCCCTTCGTCGTCACCAGAGCTCATGGATCCCGCAGTTAGATCAGAATCGGATTCAGACATCCTCTTTCGTGATGAGCGATAAGATGTCTCTGCCATCTCAAGCTCTGGCTCGGACATTGTCATGGGAGTAGATAATCCACTCGAAATGGCACTCGAGTTTGATCCAGGCCAGCCATTCCGCCCCTCGGCCTCACACGTTCCACAGAGACACTCGCAGTTACCCTCGCCAAAGTAGTTTTCTCCGTAATTGACAGTAATTTCCTCACCAACTCGGATGTTCCGCACGGCATATACTTGCATACCGTCGGATCCACGGGTCACCAGTCGAGCATTAGCGTTGCAGTCGTGGTTAGAGAATCGAGCTGGGCCAAGAAAAAGCGATGGTGTCTTCTTCCTACTTGACATGACGATGCTAAAGTCTCGCCTCGTCAAGTCCAGATCCTTCTCCTCTTCAGGGGTCATCGCCACCAGGTTTCCGCAAAGGTACTTGATAGAATCGCCTTGCTTGATGGAACGTCTCGCTGTGGTTGAAGCTTCCTGTGTGACGATCGTATACCGATTCGTAGTCGAAACTTCAAAGGGACAATCCGGGAGCCATATGTTTATGTATTTTCGCATGTGCCGTCTGAAATCCTCCTTCTCCCGCTCCGTCTTTAGGAGGCCGAAGTACTTCTTGAATCCGGCAAGCTGCAGCAAAGAAGCTTCAGCCTTGTGTGAATCTTTGCCCACGATCACATCGTGGAGCAGGATAGAGCAGACGTCGTATTCACTAATTCCCCGGGTCAAATTATATTTTGCCCGATTCTTTCGTATTGTGGTCCAGAAGTACACCTGAGCCATTTGTAAGCGTGAGCATGTATACCGATGGGAGAGAGCATTTGGGACTAACATGATCAACGAGTGCATCAGTTAATATGTCATCGTAGCCCGCCAGCTGGGTGAGGGTCAGTCGCTCCTTTTTTGGCGGCGTATCTGGTGGCGTCGCATCTTTTCGCGCCCGCCCCATCATGGGTTCTGGGGACAGAAGACCCAATGTTGAGGATGGTGTTCCCTTTCCAGTAGAAAATTAGAGCATATGGGGAAAGAGTGAAGTTCGGGTTGGGTACGAGGTTATGGGTGGCTTAGACTTTAGCCATTGCCATTTTCATTTTCTTCCTTCTTTCTTAGAGAGATGATGACTTAAAGAGAGCATATGTATAAGAAGAGGAAATGGAAAGGAATATATGCAGGAAAGAACAAGGCCACCAAAGCATTCATTCTCAAAATTGTGTCGCGCCGCAGGAAGGAGTGACAGAGCTGACAAGGCAAGGGGACAACTTCTTCGTCAGGCGTCAGGGCGGGAATATTTGATAGAGCCAGCCTCCAGATGGCTACCCGCCGATCTCCCGCCTCCCTGCAGGCAATTCGAAGGCTTCACTCACCCTTGAAGCATCCAATTGTTTCGCCTTCGACTTCTGCCTTTCTCTTGTCTTGATCTTGTTTCAACACAATCATTCCGGGCTTGCAGGGTTCCAACTGCGAGAATGATCCAGCTCAAGGTTGTTTGGTCAACCCTGATCGCCTTTGCTGCTATTCATGTTTGCTAATCCCAACTTAGACAATGCTGAATTGCATCGACAATTCGGGAGCTACGATTGTCGAATGTATAGCAAATTTGCGAATGAAGAGGCATGGGAGAATAGGTGAGAAAGGTCTACAGTAAATCCCTACCGCCGGGCGACTGACGCCCCCAAGGCGATCGTATTATAGTCGTCGTACAGAAGTCCCGCTCGATGGGCGACAGCGGCCCTGGCAACACATCTGCTGCTGCGGCAAACAAAGTGAGAAGAGGAGACATCAGGCACGCCATTATTGTACGGACTGCGAAGAAGGTACAGCGAAAGGATGGAATGGTGGTTAGATTCGATGACAACGCATGTGCACTGATTGGGAAGAATGGGGAGCCACTTGGCACGAGAATAAATGGTGAGTTTACTTCAAAGGTATTGAGATTGACGGAGCCATGCTAAAACTATAGCGAGGCATTGTTGGTGCTGAGTTACGGAGCAAGCAACAGTCGAAACTTTTGTCACTAGCATCAATGCATGTCTAGCAACTTTCAATCATGGCTTCAAGACCATCTGACTCTCACGAGAGTTCATGTACGGATTCTCTGTACAGACCAAGTGAAAAGTCAAGCTGAGGAGGAGCAATGTCCCACAGTCTAGTTGTATCGACACGGTTCCGATCCCTCCGATAGCAATCGATCCTGGGGTTCCGGGGTTCCCTTTCTCGCTTCTGACTGTAGGAAGATAGTTTCGATCCTTTGACGGTGATCCCGTCTTGGTTTTTCCCTTCACCAATACATGACCACCCTGAGCTCCACCCCACCCGGCTCTGACCACTGCTCAAGTTCCAAGCGCCTCGTGCAGCCCCAAATTTGTCGTGTCCCAGGAGTGTCCTTAACACATGACTCCAGGCCCGTCGCACATGTTTTTGCAAGATCCTCACGAGTACCAAAGACAGAGGAGTTCGGGCCCTCTTCAGTCGCTATTGTGAACACCAACCACTACAGTACATTGAGTGTACGCAGAAGCCCAGTTCTATCTGAACATGAAGAATGTGGTCTGCGTCGAATACCTAAGACGTTCACAAAGACCATTGTGCTCCACTTGTTGCGGCTCACACAACCTCGTAGGCCTGTGTGTGCGCCATCCGGAAATCTCTTACTCACATGTCCGACAACAAAACTCGTGACGGCATAAGGCTGGGAAGAATGGCGTTTAACGAAAGAACTGAGTGGTATCATATCTTAGGAACGCCAGTATGTACAAGCAGAAAAACGATTTCAATGCAAAGGGGATAGCTACAGCTCTTTCTCCTTGCTCGCTCCCCTTTTGCTTTCTTCCAGCATTTCAGTCACTCGACCTGTTTCTGGCCTGTGGGATACTGCATCCGGTCCACCAAAGGTCTCGAAAGCTTTATGGAACGTCCATTCGATAGCTTCCTCTATTGGCTTATCAAACATGAATGGCAAGAAAGGTACAGCAGCCAGACCGAGCTGTTTATGGTTTCTGTCAGCTACGTCCAAGTCTCAATAGCAAGGAAAGAGACATACTCCAATAGGTCCATAGGTTCTTATACTTGCGTTCTTTGCATTCTTCAGCGCCTTTCCAGAATACCTTACAATACTGTGAATCGTGAAAGCTGGCAGTCCCATTGACGCTATGCTCTGGAAAACGGCTCGTTGCACCATAACGCTCCTGAAGTCCTCGATAGCCGGAACATGTCCGACCTCTGGGCTCCCATCCTCTGTTGTCAACAGCTCTCTCGCATCTGCCGATCTCATAGACATAACTCCTGGTACGCCTGGATGCTTCAGGCGTTGATTCCTTAAATAGGCCTTATAGCCTTCGTGCCCTACGTCTCCTACCAGATATGCCCAGGAAATACCATATGCTCCTCTGATGAGCCATGGATGAGCGATTGGACGGAAGGATTCTCCTATGTCTGAGGTATAGGCTACATAACGTTGCGCGCTGAGTAGTATTGTACGGAATCGACTGGCATATGCTGCGTATCGAAGGTTGGAATCTGTAGACTGGTTTGCTCTATATGACAGTTAGGAAAGGCTCTTGAATAGGCAAGAGAAGGGTCTTTAACGTACGTGCCATCATAGATCTGTTCCATCAACGACTCTTCATTGTCTACGATCTTTTGAAGACTCTCAGGTAGCTTCTCTCGTGGAAGTGGATCATCTTCTGCGTGCTTGACTCGTCTTTGGACGTTGGTATTGGAGTCGTTGCTGCTCGACATGTTTCCCCAATGTCAAGTAGAGAGAGATGTGGTACTCCTTGGGTGCACAGAGACCTGTCTGTCTATATGTGACTGGGTCTCGTGCTCAATACTGCTTATGGAAGAAATCCTCCGGGAACTCCCCCAGGCGCGCCAGGCCACCGAGCCAGGTAAACTCCGTATACGCTAAATGCTCGGCTGGATCGCTCCCGCGAGTACTACTCCAAATTACAAACGTCCGAGGGGTCCGCTGAATCCTGACTGCGAAACCTGTTAATCACTACCTAGAGCAGACTGAAGAAGCATATTTATGATGATGCACGGCGCAGGAATACTACGTGTAACGAAGTTTCGTACTTTTCTGCGACGACAATCGCTACAAAGCACTCGTGCATTAGGTCGACGCAACATCAAAAGTTCTGCGTCAAGATTTCGCGCCTACACGACAGTCACGCCGATATATAGACCCTCGCAATCCAGAAAGATCTTAATTGCCTCCACAGCTTGTCTCGTGGCAGCACTAGGCTATCTTTACATCACTGACATACGCGCCAGCGTCCATAGATGGCTTGTACCACCTCTGGTTCGAATTATATGACCTGATGTAGAAGATGCTCACAAAGGCGGCGTTAGAATTCTCAAGAAATTCACCGATTTGACCTCCATCCTAGAGCAAGAGGCTGGTCGGACGATGAAAAAGACTTTAAGACAGAAGTCTTTGGCTACACGCTGGTAAATCCGCTGGGTATCTCAAGCGGTCTAGACAAGCATAGAGAGATCCCAACTCAACTTCTGGCACTTGGGTGAGTGAATCTCGAAGCTTGCTATCCTTTCTTCACTTGAGACATATCGTTTCCGGGATCACCGTGCCTACTAAACGAAGCAACACTGACTCCGATAGTCCAGCGATGGTTGAGGTGGGTGGCGTAACCCCAATAAAGCAGAATGGGAATCTCAATCCTCGAGTGTTTCGAATCGTTTCTCAACAAGGGATGATAAATCGTTACGGTCTTAATTCGGACGGAGCGACGCGTTGTTATACTCGACTGGGGTAGAGGATCCGTGAATTTGCTTATAAATAAGGTTATGGACTTAACGAGAATGTCGAGCGATTCATCTTGAATGGTGATGCCGATATCCCCCCAGGATCGTTAGTGAAAGGCAAGCTTTTGAGCGTGTAGGTTGCGGAAAACGACTCCATATTAGAAGAAGACATACAAGCGATCAGACGAGACTACGTCAACGCAATAAGCTTGCTTACCAAATATGCAGACATTATCGTAGTGAACGTCTCTTATGCCAATGTACCAGGCTATCGGGACTTACAGCAAATCGAGGTTCTAACAAAGATACCTACTGATGTTGTCCGTGTAGCTGCGTTAGTAGATAGAAAGGTGAAGGTGAGAACAATGGTAAAGGTCAGTCCGGACGAAGATACGGAAGAGCAGATCGCCAGCATATGCGCTGCAGTATGGAGGTCCGGTGTGGATGGAGTTGTCGTCGGGAACACAACTACTTCAAGACCCGACGGGCCAAACTTGTCGAAAATCGAGGCCGCTGACATGAAAGAGCGAGGCGGCTACTCTGGTCCGCAGCTTTTCTATCGTACCGTAAGCATTGTGAAAGAGTATCGTCGGATATTAGATTATCCTTTGCATAACCAAAACGTAACGCAGCAAACGCAGCTATAACCTGATGAGGCTACGGGCAATAGGACTGAGGCGTCGGTCGAACGCGATGAACAGAATCTCAAAGAAGCTTCCCACGAGTCTACTAATCAGCCTCTAATACGCGTCCCCGAGAGGCAGTTATCACCCACGACAGGCGGCATAGGGTCAGATATTGACGCTGGAACAAATTGCAGAAGCTTTGATTGATGGAGGCTTCGGTCCGGAATCTGTTCTTGCAGAATGGTCCTCAGGTCGCGGCGGGTACTGGAAGCTCTTCGACTCATTCGAGGACGTTGGTCTGGAACATCTTATGCCTCCAAAAGCCAATAGTTGGCTATTCTTGACTGATTGGAGCAACGTGGTAAAGATATCGAAAGCGGCTCTGGATTGCCTTGGCGCATCCGTTTCACCTACTCACGATCCTGGAAGACTTGGGCGAGGACGACTAAGGATGCTGTACATAACGTGAAGTTATGGCAAGTCAGGTATGGCTTTCCCTTCTGGCCGTCGATTGTTTCTGACTTCATATATGCCATGGTCTACTGAAGCTGGGACGAATACTCGAAAAGGGGTGCAAGGGCGGATGAGCAAGAGCGGTGGGTGTTTGATGTGGAATGTCTAGAGAGTTTAGTGAGCATACAATAGATCATGCAAAGATTGCTGACTAGAAGGGTAAAGCGTGCCCCATTTGATGTGGGGAAGATTGACATGTCTCTCCCGTTTCTGCCTCGTACTCTCGACTACAAGTAAAGGAGCAACCAGTAGCCATTTGGACCAGTTCTACTCTCGTAGCCCCTGTAGAAGATACCAACCCACTCTTCCATAGCTTACTGCATCTCGCATCCCGTGTACTTGCTCCTTACTCTCGTTGTCCGGAGCCACCTTTACTACGACCGCTGGCTTGTATTATCTTAGCTTTCTTCGCAGCATCCCTGTTCAGCTACCTCACCCGCTAAAGCGGCCACGGCCGCGCGAACATTTCTGTTGTCTTCTAGGTGCCAAGCCAAAGATCAAAGCCGGCAGCTACAGAACCGCCTTCCGAAGGTAGTTTAGTGTTAGGGCTGCTACGAACCAAGCCCGCTTGGCGCTCTGCGACTTCGTCCGACTAAAAATTGGATGTCTGGAATCGCTCTTCCAGGCACGTTTCGCAAAGATTCTCCTTCATCGACCTCTGAGACTCGCCATCATGGTCGCCCAATACACAATCTTCGGTCGTCAAGTCGGCTCCCACGTCGTAAGTCTCCCGGCTCTGTCCCACGTCTTCCGCGCCTCCCTTTTTCCCTGGCCTTCAATGGACGCATCAAACAGCTAACGCTCCGTCCTGTCACAGCTTGCAATGCTCACTCTGGGCACGTTCGCCGCTGGAACGACTTTCGCTATGTCAGGTAAAGAGAAGGCGAAGGAGCAAGGGCCACCGATCAATGCTAGCTCGAAGGACGAGGAAGAATTCATACAGTTCGTCAATTCCTTGCTTCAAAATAGTAATTGGCATAGGCGGTTACTGAAGTCATGCGCAGAGAATTTTTAAAGAACAATGGGGGGGAGCAGAAGGCGAAGCAATAAAGGGGGATTGCAATCGGAGGATGGGTGCGGATGACTTGGGCAACATGCCAGTTTGATGGCAGTAATACAAGCATAGACACAGGGCAAAATAGGATTCGTGCTGCATCATATGGCATCGTTCTTCCGTCGCGCTCGAGGATGCTCGAGACCGATACAAGAAGCTCTGTGACAGCAACGTTCTACGAGAGTATATCATTTCCGATTCATCCGTGTTCTCGAGCGGACAGAAGACCTACTCCCTAGGCACCAGATACAACATTGCTGCCTCTGAAGAGGGTTTCCCTGTCACAACTTCCGCCCTCCGGTTTTTCAGGTCCATTGCGATGCTAAATAGAGTCGTGATTGAGCTATCGTTGGTCTTTGATCGACAAATTGCTGTAGGAAAGTTTTCTTCGTCTTTGAGCATTGATCGAATGTCTTCCAATTTCAGAGTTCCAGTCTCCTGAAGCCTGTCTTTCTGCTCGCACACAAGCTGGTTGATGCGTTCAGATCTTGTTGGTGAGTCCTTCAGCGCCATGAGATCTTCCACGCCCTGGTGCGGCTTGATGTAATGGTTTGTGTGCGTGATAATTCCTTGTTCCATTGCCAATTCCACTATAGCAAGATGACTGCACTCGAGCCCGACCGCCTCTGCTGAATCTGCCACCTACACACATTTCGGAGTCAGCGTTGCTTTCAAAGGCGAAACTCAGACTCGCAAGACAGGCCTCGAGCGTAGAAAGAGCCTTCTGCTCCGGAAACATTTCTTGCTACTCAAAACTCGGCACTACGAGGGAAGGAAACACTCCGAAATGTACGAACCAAGAGATGTGAAGAACTTGCCACGCCCGCTTTTTTTAATGCTACCACGGCTTCTTCAGTGGAAGTACTTTCTAAACACGTCCTCAGGGCTAGATGGCAAGGTAGTTTTTGGAAATCAACACCCTGAGCCCGGATAGCGTTCAGACAGACACCAACACCCCTGGAGTTCAGGCCAATCTTCCCAATTATGCCAGCTTCCGTGATCATGCTGATAGCTGGCTTTCCTTCCTGGCTGATATTGAGGTTGATGAGATTCATTTGTTGCTCCTCCTGCCAGTCCCAATTCTGAGCGAGGAAGCAAGACGTCTCGGTCTTCCAGAAGACAGCTGTGCAGCCGTCTCTGGCCAATCCAAATGCAATCTCAGTGCGCACATTCAGGGCTAAGATGGAGAGGTAGGGCACATCTGCACCCTTGGCGACACCTATTGATGTCAATACTTCCAGGTCCGGTCAATGATGCAGTCAGTAGCTTGGCTTCCTGATAGGCATGGAAGATACAACTCGTACATGAATACAAAGCAGGTTTTGCAACTATATGAACTCGTAAAAATGTTCAGGGGATGATACAGTGTAAATCGCAGTCGTAAAAAGCACCACCACTTACACCAGGTACTGCAGAAGCTTTGCAACTGCCAACCATAAAGAAAAAAGGGAGATCATGTAATAACGCAAAGAAGCTCATGGTAGTCTGCCATACCTTTCATCTCCGTGCAGTAATCTGGCCAATGGCTCGACAGCAACGGCTCAAACTTGGCAGCCGTATCACACACTTGGGCCCATGAGAACTGGGCTGTCTTTTGGAAAAAGACTCGGTAGAATCTCAGACCCCGTTCGATCTCAGTCTTTGCTGCGGCGCCATGTTGCAGGCCTATCTGTGAGAGAGAAAAGGCCTGAGCGTTTGGAGGGTTTGATGATGTGCTTCTGCTGACCTCTGTCCTAGTCCCACTGCAATTGATACACTTCATATCTACCACCAGTGAAGACGACTACTCTAGACAGTGATACACTTGTGCTGTGGCTGCTCGTTGACCCTAGATTATAGAACTTCCATCGGCGTTAAGATTGCATGGATATCTGGTTTGATTTTGCATAGAAGAGATGTAGTTTCCAGTTACTATTTGAGTAGAATCTAGATCCGCCTCGCTCAAAATTGTAAGCTTGTAGCTAGGTATAATTCCATGGCTTTATAAGGTGGTCATTTTCTATAGATTGTTGATATTCTAGCAGCTTGAAATCGCAGCGATAAGGATATCGATTCGAATGCAGATGTCTTTAGGATCCGACTTCTAGATGTAACGTTGATATTTTGAATCCCAGACGGGGTGTCACAGGACCCGATCGACTTTTTCTGCCTTGTTTAAGAACATCTATTCGCTTCAACACCACAAGTTACGTAATCGAAGGCACGATATTGGAAGTGACCTTAAGATTGCTCTTGATGCTGATGCTAGTCCGCACAAGCTATCCAGCTAGACCGTGCTCCTGACCGTACGATAAAAATGCCATAGACAAAGCGACGCCCAACGCAGCAAAATTAGCTCTAACACGAACTATGAGCATAGGCCAGCAACGCTCTTCCCGTGATCGCACTCCATCTTTCTCCAACACTACTCATTCCCCAACAAAGGCTCTCTCTCACGGTCTTCGTAGTCCAAGTCATCGTCCAGCCTCCGCCAGATGAGTTCTTTGCCGAAGATCTGTATCGCGTCAATAGGATTTCCGCAAAGGGGAGCGCCAACTACTCCTACCGGTGGAAGTGAGATAGCGAGGGCTGCTGCGAGGAGCAGCATCGCGATCGCAACAGCAAAGATCCATTGAAGGGCGAGAATCCTGATACCATGTTGATGTATTGCGAGGGCTAATGAAGAGCGGTTAGCCTAATGCGTGCGTGCTGTGAAGGCTGACAGTCAAACGCACATGCCGAGAGGATGGCCAACTCGAAGCCAAGAGTATGATCCTTAAAGGCGCCCATGAAAAAGATGCCATAGAGCAGAATAGACCAAATAGCCACGTTTGCTAGAATCCTGGCAGCGAGACTTTGAGCGCCAACCATTGCAGCTCCATTCGACAAAACGGCGACAAAATTCCAAGCAAGTGGACCGGTGACGACAGGTATGTGGATGAAAGGTTGGGTTCGGAGATGCCGGAAGTAGAGCGACGTCAAGTTGAACGAGTTTATAACGAGCATCAGCTCGCCGATCCAGAAGAGGGAGTGCACCCACAGAAGGATAAATGCGGACGTGAGAAGATTGTGTACGATGAAGTGAGAGCCGACATTCGCGGCGACCTTGACTAGCTCGGCGTCGAAGGTGAAAAGGCAGTATAGGTAGCCGAGTTGTAGCAACAGGAGTAATAGCCTGGGTCTGCATCAGCTCGCTATATTGGGAAAGTTGCAGTATCCAAAGAGGGGTTCACCAGTATATGGAGGTAGTCTCAGCGTTGAGCGAGAACGGAGTAGGATGTGCCTTGTTCTGGTCCCAGATAGTCTCACCATTCGCCGGAGCCTTAACGTTGAACAGAATGCTAACGACGAATACGAGAAGCCAGGTGAACAAGGTCAAAAATCTGAAGACGATGATCGCTCGCTTGTCGTGCTTATCGCGTTTGGCGAATGGATTCACTTGGACCACGCACGACAATCAGCTTCTAGAATATAAGCAATTGGTGTAGTGGGATATCGAACTCGTTTGGACGCGTTCCATGGATTTAGGGGTAGCGAAGGTCATCGTTCGTTGCGAACAGGTTGAGCCAGTGAACGTCGACAGCCTCGGGTTGCCGTGATGAGAGGCAATTCGGTGGGTGAGGTTCACTTGCCCGAGAGCAACAAGCGAATGGCAAATTCTGAGGAGTTAAGGATGGTCAATTAGGAGTGATCAAGACTACCGCAAGGTTGGCAGAGGAAGTGAGGAGAAGATGTGAGCCTGACGGCACATGTTCTGGAAGCACTTGCTTTCCATGGTCGCCATTGGTGGAAAGCGCGATGGAAAATGAGAAAAGACAGCGAACAGCTAAGAGCGTTGTCGGACACGGATACGGCACCCGCTATTGTCCTCTCAGTCGCAACAGAAGTCAATAGGCATATTGCTCTCATTAGAATATTGTACAAATCTGTACAAGGCCTTTAATCAAATTTGGCAAATGCTAACTCATAGGCCAACGCCAGCGTCATTCTTGCGTGTTGCAACATATGATCTGTTTACGAATTGTCAGTATTAGTGGGCATACGGAGTGCCTGAAATTCCGTACCAAAGTTGAGGAACTCTATCTTGTCTTGCGATGTGTGAATCTTGTTATCGCTGTACTTGAAATCCGATTCAATAACGAAAGCGGAGGGATAGCCAGCCTTCGACGCGGATGCATGATCAGAGCATGCATAGCCACATTTGGTGAGAATATAGGGTATCGAGCAATACTGGCCCGCGATTAGCAGGTAGCAGCTCAATTAGCTCACATCAACGGTGACATACCTGTGTAATGATTTTCTTGATAAATTCGGTGAGATCTGGGTTAACAAAGTCTGTAATCACACCAACACTTTCGGGTTCTCCTGCTTCAATCGTCTTGTGAGTGTAGCCGGTCATATCCTGTTGCAACATTGCTTTGACGTCTCTACCTTCCTTTTCGTAAGCAGAGAAGATAGCCTGACTCCCAAGTAGTCCGCCCTCTTCGGCGGAGTACCAATGGAATTCCACAGTATTGGATGCATTTCCTTTGATGATCGCTTCAGACTCTAACAGAACCCTCAGAGCCTCGAGAATGGTGACAGTGCCGCTGCCATCGTCGTCTGCGCCAGGAGCAGAAAGTATTGAGGGCAGGAAGAGGTTGATGCTATCTTGATGTGCGCCGATCACCACGGTTTTATCGCTCTTTCCAGGTATTGTAGCAATGACGCTGTTTTGCCCCCAAGAATGTTCGAAAGTCTCCACACGGGCGCCATATTCTGCAGCTCCAGAGTTTTGGATGGTCTGGTTGACTTTGCTGTACAGCCAAGCGGAGGACTCCGCACCATAGGGAGACCGATAATATCGGGTATGGAAGGATGTAAACTTCTCCAAGTTCTTGTGCATATTCTTTTGCTTTAGCTCTCTCAACAACGGCACCAAGCTGTCGTTGTATGCTGGTTTGTTCGGGAACTGGACAGTGACATCTCTTCTAACGTTTAATCCGAGGTCACGAGTTTCTGTTACATCCATAAAATTAACACCAGCCTGTATGCAAGACATGTTAGCATCCTCTGTATGCCATAGCCAGAGGCCTGTTCTCCTATGGCGGATGACAGCTACATACTCGTTTTAGTGCCCACTTCTCGTCTTCTACGATCCATCTTCTTTCTCCGGGGCCTAATTCAACGAGGTACAGATCTTGATTGTCATTGCCGAGGACAGCCTGGTCGGGTTTAGTAATGGATAAAGCGACGGCTGCTGTCGAAAGTCCGACAACGGCGAGTGAACAAATTCTCATTTCGATTGTAGATGTGATTAAGGAATCTGGTCGGTTAACAGGAAGAGATGGATAATATGGGCTGATTCCCAGCTTCTTATTCAGGCATCTGATAAGGTCGTCATCTGATAGCTAAGCGGAATGCCCTCCGCCGCCGGATAGCGTGTTATTTCTTGGCGTCCACTAGTCCTTCTTCCACCTGATGACTCGAAGACTTGTGACTCTGTCCGTATATAGACAGATTGGTTTGCCAGGGAATTCTTTTTTATCTGTCTACCTACGTGTGGAACAGACATATAATCTCTGCTCTCCCTATCACTGACCAGAAAGCGCCCCTTCGACGTACGGAACTTCGGCAGAATGGCAATCTATCCCAAAGCCAATGCCTACGCGCAGAACGGTGGTCTCAATAATACTTCGCCGCCTCATCCCATCAATATTGAAGCATGGACCGAGGAGGCCACGCAGTCACTCAGTGCAGTCTCGCTGGTCCCTCCAGGCCTTGTCCCTGATGCAAGCGTATCTATTGCCATTGACCTCGAGGAGCCGACCCATCGCAAGCAAAGCGAAATCGCTGGAACTGCTCGTCGTGCAGACGACGCTTCGTCCGCCTATCGCCCACGCCGTGAGCCTCTTCGGCGCGACAGCCTAAAACGTCGTGAGGCACTCCTCAAAGGCAAGGAAGGAAGCCGTCGCCGTACACGCTGGGAGAATGGTTCGTATCATACTTAGTCGCTATGATACGGAATCTCGATATTGACGATCTTCGGCTTGCGTAGATCGTCTGTTGAATAACCCATGGGCGCAACCCCCACTCCCGAGCGATTGGGAAGTTCACCCAACATATCCCAAACATGCCGTTCCTTATTACCTTGCGCCGCTCTGGGATCTGGACATGACCGTACGAGCCGGCGCTGAGAATAAGAAGAAGCGCGAGACTGTCCGTAAGCAGGCCCAGGGAGAAGACGAGAGCGCTGGCAAGATCCCAAGAGAGCTTCGCGAGAAGCTCAAGAGAGCCAAGGCTGCTAAGGGCTTGTTGAAGGATCTTGAAGAGCAAATTCGCTTCTTTGTAAAGAATTGGGAAGACCAGAAGAAGGATATTAGCGAGCATGAGCTGGATTCTGAAGACGAAGAGATTGTATTCGTCGGCAGAAACGGGCAAATGAATGATATACCTTCGTCTCCGAAGACCAGCTTAGATGAAAGTGACGCTGAAAGAGACCAGCGGCTGGTCTTCGACAGCTTGGCAAACGACCAGGGAGCGAGCTTTGGGTATGTGGCTTGCTATTTTCTGCCATCGACAAATCGGAGAATTGACATGGTTTAGGCGCTGGCTGGTCCATTCCATTGCATCTTACTACGGCCTCCGCACCTGGTCCATTACTGTTGGCGATCCGGCGAGGCGTGAGGCGTATGTTGGAATACCACCGCAGCAAACCAGAGGCAAACCTGCATCTCCAGTGCTAAGGCCTCGTCCTCTATGGAATATGGTCTAATTAGGCCGCGTGCTGCGCTTCAGAGTCTCGAACCATGTTGTCTTGGATTTGTCTATGCATGGAAGCTCGATTCTAAATGTTTCGTCTTAATCTATATCTAGAGCCTTTAATAACAGCCTGCAGCAGGCCATTTCAGATAGAGTATCCATGCAACATAGCTTTAGGGAAGAGCAGTTTTTGAAGTACCTAGTAAACTATCTGCTTTACTGTATGTTATGGATTTCGACTATTGGAATTAGTCGGGTTGGTGGAGAGACACGCTAGTACGCGTCATACGCGACGGACTTCGCCAGATCCAGTGCACCTTCAAAGAGCCGCTTCGAAGCATTCTAGAACCAATTGCAGTTGTAGCTACAATGACAGAGACAGAAAGAGGCACACTGTCCAACGGATATGACCTGTCCCAACCGCATGAGGAACACCAATACCTTGACCTGATCCGGAACATCCTTGAGGACGGCGAGCATCGCCCGGACAGGTATTCTCAGCGCTTTCCATGTTCCCAATTGTGTCCTACGCTCACCCTCGCAAAGAACAGGAACAGGTACCCTTTCCCTCTTTGCACCTCCAGCCCTCCGCTTCTCCCTCTCGCGGCCCTCACCAGATTCCTCGTCACACCCGATCCCGGTACTGCCACTTCTGACCACCAAACGGGTCTTCCTCCGCGCCGTCATCGCGGAACTTCTCTGGTTCATTACCGGCTCCACTTCGTCCTTGCCTCTCTCTGAAGCCGGTATAAAGATCTGGGACGGCAATGGCAGCCGCGAGTACCTCGATAGCGTTGGCCTTTCTCACAGAGAAGTAGGAGATCTGGGACCTGTCTATGGTTTCCAATGGCGGCATTTTGGCGCAGAGTATGTGGATGCGAAGACAGATTACATGGGCAAGGGAGTGGATCAGTTGGCAGAGGTCATTGAAAAGCTGAAGAATAAGCCGTATGATCGAAGGATAATACTGAGTGCGTGGAATCCTGCGGATCTGGGGAAGATGGCATTGCCGCCTTGTCATATGTTTGCACAATTCTACGTTTCATTCCCAAAAGCCTCGAAGTCTGGTGTGCAGGCAAACGGCGACCACGCGGAGTCGGCAGCGCGTGCCAATGGCAACAGGGTGCTTAAACCTCGAGGCGTTCTTTCCTGCCAGCTGTACCAACGTTCATGCGATATGGGACTCGGTGTCCCTTTCAACATCGCCTCTTACGCTTTATTAACACACATGCTTGCAGATGTATGCGACTTGAATCCCGGAACCTTCATTCATACTATGGGAGACGCCCATGTATATCTGGATCACGTGGATGCCTTGAAGGTACAGCTAGAGAGAATACCAAGGGATTTCCCAGATCTTAAGGTTTTGGATCACCATGAAGGAAGTATTGATGGGTGGAAGGCGGAGGATTTTGAGATAAAGGGGTATAAGCCGCATGCGAGTATTCCCATGAAAATGAGTGTTTGATGTAGATGAAGAAAAATGTGATTCAAAGCCAAAGACGCATTTTCATGAGCTGTGTTCATGTATGAACGTTGACCGAACCCCCACGAACTATCTCAGATGCCTCAAATCTACCCATCCTACCAACGCCGTCGCTATGCGCATGTATTAAACACCAGATTGTGTCATCAGTCGGTCTCCGCAGGGCCCACCCCACGCAGCAGAACGACCGTATTTCCATTCACGCACACATCCCCAGTCTTCTCTCCAAACTCCAGCAGTCGTCCATGCTCCACATGGAATACCCTCAATCGTTCCTCCTCTCCGCCTCCTCTGTTATTTACATTCTCCACTTGTAGGCTTTTCGCCGCGGCATCTAACACCCTGCCCACACTCCAGTCCTTACTGTACCAGTATTCGCCCTTCGGCAATTTGCTGCTTGTCGTGTTCGCTTCAGCTTCAACATACAGATATATTCTCTTATCCATCGACACTTTCGCATCACCTTTTGCCGTCCGCTTCAACGCGTTCACTGCTATGATTCGACTAGCTGCGGTCGACGGTTTGGGCTTCGGTAGAACAGCCGCTTGCTTTTCCTTTCCCCAGACTCGTAATCGACCGAAAGCTGCCTTTGCTTTTTCAGCTTGTGTGGGACCGGTCGAGGGTCGCGCACCGATGGGTATAAGTTTGGAACAACTGTGATCTTCCTTCAAGCGGTGCTTGAGACAGTATTGCCGGTTACAAGTCGGACAGCCAACGCCAACGGAATTGAGTGTGTTGATATAGGTCTTACAGCTTGGATGCGAACACTGCGAAGCAGTCATGAGGGTCGGCTTGCCCGGATTAGCATTATTTGTAGTTGAAGAAAGCGCAGCAGCTTTCCGCCTTGCGGCCGCCCACTCGCCGGCGCGAGGGCATTTGTGAGCTGTTTCAGTGCGATGGTTGAGGCAGTAGGTGCCTTTACAGGATTCGCAGCGGAAAGGGAGGAAATCGAGTTGGTTGCAGTAGGTGTACTGACAGTGGGCACCGATCGCTTCGAGATCTTTGTCCATGGTGGTGAAGGTTTGGGACTCGAGAGGTGCTGGGGAGGTAGAAGAGGACGCCATGATGAGTTGCTGAACAGGTTTGTTTGATTTGATTTTGGTTGGTCTTTGCCGCCGTGTAGGCAGCGTAGCTTGGTCAGCTCCTTGCCATGGGTTAATGGGTGGGTGTTTTGATAATAGCTTCCAGAAGTTACCAGAATGCCAAGATGTGTGACATATAAGGTAGGGCTGAAAATTAGCATTTTTTAAGTTACCGCCATTGAAATACTCGATCCTCAACGACTACTACAAGATCCTGCTCTGGATCCCTTACATATCTAGTGATTATCATGCAAGCACGCAAGTGTCTGAATTTATGTGCATGGAGCTGAAATCTTGTGTCCTATCTGGACCGTTGCACGGCTCCTTGTTTTCGTGTTGAGCTGCTGTCGTTGCTAAGTCTCTTTGGAAATGCAACAACATCTGCTGGACATAACATGGCTGTGATCCTGAGCCCAAAGACACTTTCTGTCTTCGATTTTGCGTTCCGCATTGGACTCAACAAGCTAACATCACTGCTATTCTTGTGCCTCGGAGTGCATAAGGGTGGAGACTATCTAAACCATAATGGCACCTAAACCATTCCCTTTCCCTATTAGCATTGGGATCGATGTGTGTCGAGTCAACCGCATCGCAGCTATTCTACGTCACGAGCAGACGCGAAATCGTTGGGCTCGAAAGATCTTTACCCGTCTGGAGTGGCCAGCTCTATGCAGAAGATTGCAGCGCGTTGAGAAAGCGGTAGGAGAGCCAGTTGGACAAGCTGATGCAGCGATTGATCCAAAGCTGGACAACGAGAATCAGGCAATCGCCAGTAATTACGACAACGCCATTTGGATGCTGCCCCGATTATCTGGATATTCATCGACTTTTGAGGACGAACATTCGTATTGGTCGGCTATTGCCGATGAGAGGTCTGCTCTGGGACGCTTGGCGCGCCATCTGGCTGGAAGGTCAGACTGTCTTTGAGGAGCTGGATCTGGAGATTGCCTCCTTACTGACAATGCGTTGC